TCAGTTTTGCTGCTTTTAATCACGGCAAGGATGGGGCCTGCTGTGCATCATCACATGATACATGGTAGGCCCAAACAACTGTTGCTACTATAGATTTACAATAGGCTTTTTCTAAGTAACAGGGAAGATCAGAACCTTTTCTGTTACAGCTGCCACAAGTTTATTGGGTGTGTTGTCTGCTTCAGCATATAACAAGATATTAGGTTTGCAAACTTTGAGCTTAGCATTTTGACTTAGCTTGATTGTTTGTTTTGAGCTGAAGAAATCTTTGGCGGTTGCTGGGAGTGGTTATGCAGTGACCTGAAGCGGAAGACTGAAGTAGTTTGGAGTGCCAGAGAAACTGCTTGTTTATGGTAAGATAAGGACATTCTATTGATAACTAAGTAGAGGGACTGCATTATTTTGCTATATGTTTGCATATCATCATGTAAAGAAGAAGACTCAAAGGATATATTGTTTGTTGTATATTGGTGAGAACAATTCTTCTGTTTTGCTTTGTGTTTTTGATCTACAGTGAATAGAACTATATTTTTGTTTCTACTTAAAGCAACAGACTCATGTGTATTTTTTGAGTTTTTTATCACACTGTGAGTAAAAGGGGCTGAGACATTCTGCAGCCTGCTAATGCGACTCTGACAACCACATTCCTCCCAAATAGGACAGGAAGTGCCAAAAGGCACTTCCTCCACCACTACGAGGAGGAAAGTGTAATTTGGGTAGCTTCAGGGGACTTACCTGCATTTCCCTCCCTTTCCCCCCATATAATGGGGGAAAGGATGGCACGGCAATGCATGTTGTTGCCCATTCTCCCATCTGATTAGGACAAGGAACAGGATGTTAATGTACCCTGTCCCATCCCCACCATGTGATGGAGTAAGGAGGAAAGGCATGTGGGGTGCCATGAGCCACCCCGCACACCTTCCCCTACACCAACAACTGCCTGAAAAACAGCATGGTCCAAAATGGCTATGTGAAAAAGTTGTTATATTACAGTTTGCCTTGAGAGCTCTGGAGATAATCTGCCATTTGAAAGAGAAATGTAGTCACAATATTTGATTGTAAATACTTTATGTCAGACATCTATTGCAATTTTTGCAGTTGTTAAAGGAAAAAGTAAAGCAGAGATCAGAATCGTGCCATTCTCTAAGTATTTCTCTGTGTCCCAGCATAGTCAACGTTGAAAAATGTGAGAAGTTGTAGTCCAGCAGTTTCTGGGGAATGATGTGTTTTCCACATCTGATGCAGAGGCTTGGAACTGAATCCAGTTGTAAATCTTAACTAGAATAAGACTGTGGACTCAGTTGTAACTTGGGAAATCAGCACATAAATGACCACCATTAATTCAGTAGACCTACTTAGTTTGGACTCACTATGGAATTTAGACCTTAAAGCACATAGCAAATTCAGTTTCACTTAATTATCTCTATCCATGTGTTTAGTAAAGGTCAAGAGTTTCCCCTGGCATTAAATCTAGTCATGTCTAACTCTGGGGGTTGCTGCTCATCTCCATTTCTAAGCCGAAGAGCCAGCATTGTCCGTAGACACCTCCAAGGTCATGTCGTCATGGCTACTTGGAGCACTGTTAGCTTCCCACTGGAGTGGTACCTATTGATCTACTCACATGTGCATGTTTTGAACTGATAGGTTGGCAGAAGCTGGGCCTAACACCGGGAGCTCATACTGCTCCCAATATTTGACCCTGTGACCTTTCGGTCAGCAAGTTCAGCATCTCAGCTCTTTAACCCATTGCACAACCAAGGGCTCCAATCCATGGCTTTAACTTTTGATGAAATAAAATTGAATTTTGTGTCTTGATCCAAAGAGGATGAGATGTCATAAGAATTGTGTATACACAGATCTGTGGCCATGAGAAATTTGAGGTACACATATCTAACTTGTCTGTAAAGAGTTTATGGGCTGCCACTGAAAAGGTCCTCCTTTGCATCTCCATCAACCATGCTTATAGCACTGAGACCAAGATTTTTCTGATCTCAGGGCCTGAGCAATCTCATTTAAGGGAAATAGGATAGCCTAGACCTGAGCCATCTAGACCATTTATAGAAATTTAGATTACCGGGAGGTAAAATATGGGCCTCCAGATATTATTACACAAAAACATCAATCAACCATAACTAGGATAGCCAAACAGTGAACGATGACAGATATTGTGGCTCATTGACACTTGCCTGGTCATGTCATACCCATTCCTGATGTATATCATATATATAAAAAGCAAAATCAATCAGAAAATAACAGCAACAAAACCCCGAGGAAAACCTCCTTTCCCCCTCATTATAAATTTGGGGAATTGCATAAGTCAATAATAATCAGAATAATGTTTTATCAAGCTGTTTTTTTCTCTTTTATTAATATTGCAAAATCAATAACCTAATTCTCATTATCTTTATTTTCAGTGAACAGGCCATTAGGGCCATTTTCTTTAGCTTGTGATATATTGCACGGCATTACTCATGTTGACTTGCATGGCAGCAAAATGAAGTGAAGTGACAAAACGTTAGCTACTCAATGAAAGGTTTATTGACAAATTTGTCCTATTCAGGACTGGAAAAATACTGTGAAATGTCAAGTAATCATAACCATATGGAGAGAAATGTGAGAATAAAACTCAGATAGGAACAAAGCAGATGCCAGGAATTAGTTTTGTCATTGAAAGTTTATGAAATCTAGAGATGACAATAAAATTGGGAAAATTGTGTGTGTGTGTGTGGGTGGGGTGGGGGGGGGGCAATGTCAATGCAACATCATACTTTCCTATTCCAACTATACAGTAAAGAAAAATGCTTAGGGAAAAGCCTGCATTGGCAACTAGTGTGATATTATACCGCTAACCAATTGAACATTGGGATGTGAGAAATTGCAATTCAAATTTTCACTCAGTTGTCGAGAAGGGCACAGCAACTGGAGACTCTAGCCCTAGTACTGTGTAAACTCTCCATGTGAACACTACAGACTCTCAGGACATTATTAGAAATGAGCTATTGGGAAGAGTTATCTGCAGGTGATCCTATATTGGGAAATACATTTTGACTGTAACAAACATTTAAGAGAACTCTTCAGGTGTCTAGTTGGTGACCTCCTAGTTAAAATAGTCTTTTCAGGGCTTGGTATGAGACTTTTTTCTGGGATTCTTCTATAAAAACATATGTACATTGGTAGTCTAAAACAAGTAAAGTAAACTAACAATGTTGGGGAAAAATCATTTCCTCCTGCTCCACCTTGCCTACTGCTCACCTTTGTGTGGCTCTATGATTTGCCGGGGAGGCCCTTCTCTCGCTCCCACCACCCCACACTGTCCACTTTTCACAGAGAGCTGAAAACTTGGATGTTTCAGCAAGCGTTCGAGAATGATTAGACACATTTATAAATGTCCAGTCCCTAATTAACCAGGTGGGATGTTGCTCTCTTTACCCTGCCCAATTCCATGGCCCTATAGTTTGCTGTTGCACTATCCCATGCCCATCCCTTTTGATAGCCGGGCCATGCCCATTTTAGTAGTCAGGTTCTGGATTTGAGTAGTGATTGGATGGAGTTTCAATGTTTATGGTCTGTACTTTTATGTCTATTTCACTTTGTTTTTAACTGGACAAATGCTCCATTTGATTATGTTTTTATTTTAATTGTAGTTTTGTTTATTGGATTGTTTATTGTCTTACAGACATTTAGTCCCATGTAAGCCGCCATGAGTCCCTTTGGGAAGATGGTGGCGGGATATAAAAAGTTGTTGTTATTATTATTCCTTCCTGGATCATAGTCTGTTAGCACCTTAAGACTCCGTCTGTCATGCATAGGCCATTGACCAGAGAAGATCAAAACGAGTCTGAATCCATGGCTCTTCCAAATTTTTTTGGTTTGGCTCTGCTAGCTGGTTATGACAAGCTACAATAGTTTATCCTATACAATTCATAGAAGTTCTAGCCACAGCCAACAAAAAATGACAAGACCAGACTTGCGAATGTACAGTGCGTCCTTGTTAACTACTGAACTTCGGGGACCTCCCTAGATACCAGACTCCACAGGTGTTCATGTCCCATTATATAGAATGGCATAGTAAAATGGTGTCCCTTATATAAAATGGCAAGATCAATGTTTCCTTTTGAATTTTTAAAATATTCATAGATTATTCTGTGGATATGGAGGGCTGACTGGATATACAAATCAGAGGCACTGTACAATACAAAGTGCAAAGACCTGACAATGATTTGTGGTAGCAGCAGCAGGCAAATGAATGCTCAGCCAACATACAGTTAAGATTGCATTGAAATACTGGTTGTGATCAGTATAGTTTGGTTAAAGATCCCCCATGACCAGGGGATTTTTCCACAGGGGATGCGGAAAAAATTGATACTTCTAGACCATAAAAGTCAGGAAATCATTGAGGGAAAAATCCATTAACTCTTCCAAAAGTACTGAGCTACTTTCTAAATTTGTAGTAGACATATCCACACAATATTAAATGCCAATTATTTATAAAATGTGTTACAACGATTTATTGCTGCATGCACATTCTATATTTTCTATAAAAAGCTGCATATAGCTTTCTCCAATAAAAATATTTGATGAGAAATCCTGTGCAAACTTTTTCTGGAGTGAACACAGCTGAACACAGGACTTACATCTGAGTGACTATATATACATTCATGTGCAAAAACCCCAAATTTCACAACGTTGACAATGTATAATTTGGTATTAATATGCTAATTTGAAAACTATTTTTCCCTGCAGACTTTAGGCCCACTTATCGTAAATCTTTCCTGGCTCATTTAATACTAATGCACAGACCTCTTGCTTATTTTTTTTTAGCCACGTCAATATTGCATATATAGTTAAAAATAAAATGATAGAGAACAGAGAGTACTAAAATTAGCTATAATAAACTGTTATGGCAGCAGTGGGTAGAGAAGTGTTATTAATGGTGCAAATTAGTTTTTGAAGAAATTAGCACGCAAACATACCAGAGACAAAAATACTAAAATACTCACATTTTGTGCCAGTTGTTTCTAGTTACACTTGGGCATCAAAGCAAAAGTGAAGAAGGTATTGGGGTCATTTTCAGAGAGACAAGGGATCCAAAAGAAATAAGCGTAATCCACCAGATCTGTTTTGTCTCCTGTGAGTGGGGTGTTTTTTGTTTGCTTTTGAAGAAGGCAGCCAAGAAGGTCAGTTCGTTTCCTTTAGCCCTCAACCAGCTGGCTCCTTTGCTATTTTGTCATATCCAACATACACACATAATGTAGGAGGGCCTTTAAAATGCTTGTATTTCAGAAGGAAGAGAGGGGGCGTTTCAAAGATCTTAAAATAATTAGAAAAGGAATCATTATGGAAAAAATAGCCTTGCTCTTTTAAGTAACTGTCCACATGACAAGTGTGACTGTCTAGCATTTGTCAGTTTCGCACACAAAGTATTTCCTACCAGCTGCTCAGGAAACAAAGGTGTGGTTCAAGTCTTGGACTTCTGAAGTTAGAATCAGGTTAAACTCTTAAGTTTTTATCTGATGGGTCCCATCAGAGTCATGGCATTAGACCACAGCTGAGCCAATTGGACTTTTATTGGGAATCTGGGAAAGTGTTCACTTCTGCTGGACTCAAAGGATATGTCCTCACTGTCGTGGTTCAACCACACAATGCAGCCCCATGTATTCACAGAATACTTTTGCTCATTCTTGCATGAGTTACAGCAGTTACTAGGTACGAAGGTTGCTATCTTACATAATTTGAGCTGTCAACAAATCTGATCTCCTCATTGCTCATCCCCTAACTCCAAATAATTATTGTGAGCTAAAAATCACAACTTACTACAATTCTTGCATATCCTTCTTGTAACCAGTTACCGTCAGAAGAGGAACTCACTGTTTTCTCCATGACTACTACCAATGCTTTCCCCATTGCCACCACCTAATGGCTAGCTGACAAAATTATGTTCTTGCATTCCTAGAAATTATGACAATTCCCTTTAAAAATGCTTGCCTTTCTATATAATCTTTAATAACGGTTTACATTGACAGAGCTGATATTGTTTCCTGGATACCCATTTTCCACTCCTCTAGCATAACCTTAGAGATGTTATAAATGATGACAGATCAACTGTTTCACATCTTAATGCCTTAGGTTCATCTGAATATTACAGATTGGCTGATTTGTTTATTCTTTCTATACAGTTTGTATCCAACAATGTTTGTACTCCTGTCCAATTCCACCAAATGTCTACATATCTTTTAAAATCAAGCACCCAAACTTCTCCGTCTGGGTTTGGAGACTCTCAGAATCAGCCAGGCACAAAGATGTTCATGGTCTATTTGGGGATCACATTGGCTTACAACCTGTTTAAAATGTTTGTAGCCCACCCATGCCATTTCCCACAACAATAAAATACCTTAAGTCCATTTGAATATTTGCTTAAAAGAAATTAGCCCAAGATTAATAGTACCTACACACAAATGAATATGTGAAAAACCTCACTTGCCTTTATTAAAATATTTTTGCACACATTTCACTGAAACGTATTTACAAAATAGATTAAGTTATATAACAGATGTTATGGTTGATGATTAAAAAAATCAAATAAACCTAAGCCAACAATAGGTCTAATAGTCTGAATACATTTATTTTAAGATGGAAGCATATCCTCAGCATATTGTTTAGGTTACAGGAGGCATGGAAATGGCAGGAATGCTCTTCACTGGTGCTGAATTACACATATAGTTGAAATTCCTGTAGGTGAGGCTAGAAAATAGGCACTTAAGGGCTCAATATGTGGTAGGTTTTGAAATCAATGCAGCAAGGTTTGTTATCAGCTTCTAACTATGGATCATAAGCAGTATAACATAAATTAAACGGACTCCTGAAAGTTAATGCAGTAATTAAATGTATTCACCAAATTACAGACACATTATGAAATTACTACCAGATGAATGACAGGTTCCTCATATGTTTGATATACATATGGTTTGTTAGTTGCAGAGGGAGGTTTTGTAGCTGTAACAGAGTACTGCTAGGTAGGCTCTTGCCTTTTTGTGTACATCCATTTGAAGAAAGAAGAAATGCAATTTTTGAGGTGCACCATATCTTCTATTATGTTGACACTAGGGGGGATTTTTCAAAATTGGAATCAAAATGTTTAACTTTGAAAGCAAGGGTGAGGAAGCTTCAGCCTTTCAGAGATTGCCTGACTTCAACTTCCAGAAGATCCAGCCAGCATAGCCAATACTGAGAAACTCTAGGAGGTTCAGTTTATCTTTTGGAGGAAGCTTCATTTACACAAAAGAGAGATAGCAAGCTTGAAGACCAACTACAATTTCCAATAGTGTTTGGGGGGCATTAAAAGACCTAAAATATAGGATAGAGATTCTGCGTTACACACACACCAGCTCTCATTTCCAAACTCAGGAAATAGAGATATCAGGGTCTTCCATTGTGGGCCTTCTATTAAATTGAAAAAATGGTGGAAACCTTCCTGTTTGTCCATATATCCCTGCTGTCAATCAGAACTCGGGAAGACTTTTTTTCTCAGCAGTTGTACCCTATGCAAGCAACTTTCAGAAGAGTTGGTCATGCCCATTCCTTAGTTGGACGGAACATGAGATGCAAAGACAATCTATCTTTAAAAATGTGGGAGTAAGAGGGTCAGCACGAAGCAGCCTGAAATCTAAATGTGGGGAAAGCTAACAGGTCAGAAAGCCAAAGGCATGAGATACGTTACATTGGGGCAGATATTCCTGCCATAATTAAAGCCAAATACATTACAAAGAGAGCCAGTTTGGTAGAAGCTGGCTGTCTCGTCCTGCAGACCTATCCAGATGGTTTATAAGTCATGCATATCAAACTATGAGTTGACTATTGTACTATACCAGGCATGGGCAAACTCCCCCCCCCCCCGGTGTTTTGGACTTCTAACTCCCACAATTCCTGACAGCCAGTAAGCTGTTAGGAATTGTGGGAGTTGAAGTCCAAAACACCTAGAGGGCCAAAGTTGGCCCATGCCTATACTATACCCTATATTTGCCTTATATGAATCTGTGACACTACAGCATGAATGTACGTATAGTTGAGGATGATGAACATGGCACCAACACATATTTGTATTCTGATCACTATGAAAGCAAGTCATTTTTATTCTAAAAACCCTAAAGATAATAGGAATCAGGAATTGTTAAAACAAAGGTTTTCTACATATGACAACATTTGATTTTACTTATACCTCTAAGTCAAAAACATTGAAAACAAGAATGATAGCAACATGAAAAAATTATAAATGGTACCAACACTATTAAAAATACCCTGAAAGAATGGCAGTTCAGGAGAATAATTTGCTCAATAAAACCAAGATATACACAAAAAGCTGACACAAGCTTTTTGTGTCATTGGTGGCCCAATAATATTGTGTATTGTGTATGTGTTTTTATGCTTTTTAATGGAATATTGCTGCTTGTCGTTGTGTTGTAAACCGCGTTGAGTCGCCGATTTAGGCTGAGAAACGGCGGTATATAAGCACAGTAATAAATAAATAAATAAATAAAAACTAATGATTGCCTATCCATTACTTTTTCCTCTTGGGAGATATTAAAAGCTCTTTACAGCTTATAATGGTATTCTGAATACCAGAAGAGGAAAATAGTTCTAAAAATCAAAGTAGTAAAGGTGAGCATAGATGTCATTTTAGATTCATGTTATTTAAACAAAAAGATACATGATATACAATATATTACTTCTTTGAGGAACTTTTCTAATAATTCTTTTACCATAAGGGCCAAAAATATTTTCTCATCCCTTAAGGGACAAGAACTGTTCAATATACAGAACAGTTGAAGACAGTATCGGAAATCTTTGGAAGAATTTGAGGATAACAATCAGCTTCTTTGGCATTCCATTTTTTGTCCTAGACAACAAAATTCCCTTTGACCGTATGGTGGTTACTGTGATATTAATTTAAACATTTATACCCAACCCTCTAACCAGAGAGCTCAATATAACCAAAATGACAATTTAAAATGTGAATAATTTAACATTTTAAAGGTTACAATATTATACAATGTAACATGTTGAAAAAGATAAAGCGTCAAAATAGTTTAACACAAATCCTTTGCAGAGCAGTGGGGTGGGAGGGAAGATCAACTTGTGCCACAAAAAGGCAACCAGTGGCATTTTAAACTGTTAGTAATATGGGAAGACAGACATGTAATCCAGAGATGTTTGGGTTGAATCCAGAAAGGGCCTTGCAGACACAAGGACTCCTTCCATCAGCAGGAGGATTTTGATCCAAAAAAATATTTTTTTACTGGCTGGACAGGGGAAGATATTATCTTTACTAATTCTGCCTTCTCCTTGCATATGTTCCCTGTCAATTTGCTCTGGGGGACTGTGGAAAGGAACCACTGGAAGCGAAGGGCAAGAACAAGGGTGGAATTGGGAAATGTTATCTCCCCATTTTCTCTCAGGGCAAGCATTATGAACCAGAGACACTTCTGCTGGAGTAAATGATGTGTTTTCCACACTTTAAAAACATGTTTTAAAATGATTTGGCAGAGGCTACATACACGTAATTTCAAATGTTTGAGAACTGAATGTATGAAAATGTGGATGCGTGAGAATTCACACACTCATTCAAGAAAATAATAATAATGCATCGAATGAAATTTGAATCTTCTCCCAAGTTTGAAACAGATTTCTAAACAGAACTGAATGAAACTGAAAGAGCTGACCCCTAATAATTTTGACTTCTAGCCTTTGGGATCGACACGATTGCCACTGCCCACAGACAAAGAATTCTCAACAAAGATATTAAGTCCACAGACCATTTAAAATTCAATTTTCTTTCTTTTCTTTTCTTTTTTTTAAAGCATTATCTTATAGTTATTTAAGACTGTTAAATTCATGTATACTCTTATGGTACAACCAGCAGTTGCTGTGTTTTGAATTATAGTGCTAAAAGATGCATATTTTTTTCTAAAAGACAAGTCAATCTCACACATCCTCATCCTTTGCAAAGAAAATATTCTGACTCTGAAAATCCTGAATGAATTTTATTATCATTCCTCTGTTACAGAAGTTTTCCTTGTTCTTAGAACAAGATCTTTGACAGAGGCAGAGAGTTCTTGCAGTTCTTTTCGGATTGCGTCAATGTTCTCTTCTGTGTCCAAGTTGTTATCCACTGAATCGTCATCACCTTGACCAATCTTCTTGTTCTGACTTATCAGCTGTTTCACTACTAACCCCTGGTATTTGATGAGAAGAGAATGTTGATCCTAAAAA